TGTTCTTTGATGAAACTCTTTCCCTTTCATTTCCTTTTTATCTTAGTTGTAAAACATCCTTAGGTAGAAAGCTTCCTGGTTCTATGATTCCCCATCCGTCCATCCATCCATCCATCCTTCCATCCTGCAAATCATTATTGTGTGCCCATCTTGTGCTTCATGCTATACAATGAACAATAAAGGAGAAAAATAAGTAAAATATATCGAATGTTAGCTGGTGATAGTACTACAGAGAAAAGTAAAACTGGGAAGGGAGTGGGGGGTTCTGGGGCCCAGCCCTTGCAAGCCTGGGAAGGATACAGGTTGAGAAGGTCAGACAAGGGACCAAGAGGAAGATTGGAACCACCAGTGTGTTCCACTTTGGCTCTAACCAGAATCCTGCCAGGGAACTTGTGAAGCATACAGAATTCTCAGTCACCCTAGAATCCTCATTCTGCAGGTTCTGGGGTGTGGTGTGCTGTGCTAAGTCACTCAATCATGTCCCACTCTTTGCAACCCTATGGACTGTAGCCCACCAGGCTCCTCTGTCCGTGGGGTTCTCCAGGCAAGAATACCGGAGTGGGCTGCTATTTCCTCTTCCAGGGGATATTCCTGACCCAGGGATCAAATACGAATCTCTTGCATCTCCTGCATTGGCAGGTGGGTTCTTTACCACTAGCACCACCTGGGAAGCCCATACATTTTTATTTCTTTATTTATTTGACTGCCCTGAGTCTTCATTGCCAGTGTAGGACCTCTTTAGTTGCAGCATATAAAGTCTAGTTCCCTGACCAGGGATTGAACCTGGGCCCACTGCCCTGGGAGCATGGAGTCTCCCGAAGAGAAGTCCTTGGAATTAACTGTTTTAAACAAGGATATTAGGTAATTTTTATACAGCCCCTCGTCACACAGGGCTTGAGAACCAGTGTTTAGAAAGCAAAAGCCAAAGAGAGGTTAAAGTCCAGGGTCATCCAGAAACCTTGAGGGTCATGGAAGCTGGGAAAGGAGGCAGTCAGGACACTGATATCTGGCAGCCAGCTCTCCCTTTTTCTCTCCTTCACCTATCTTCCATAGGATAGAAGAGCCTCCATCTGTCTACACCTTGGTATAGAGTAACACTCCTTGCTCAGAGCTCCAAACTCTGCTCTTCATATGCAGAGAGAGCTGCTTTGGGAATTAGGATAACTTCACTCCCTACAAAACTCCCAGTTCCAAGATGGCACCTGCCACCTACTTCTGAAGCAAGGATTCAGTGGGGGAGAGAAAATCCAGGACACGGTTTATGGAGCATGAAGCATGCAGACATTGGTTTAACATTCAAAAACTATTATCTTGTCACGTGCTTATTAGTCCTTGTGTTTCTTTCTGTTTAAGCAGCATTTAACACCTTTGGCTGCTTCTTCCTCCTCGAAAAACATTTTCCCATCCACATTCTCCTAGACTTCAATGTCAAGCTGTTCTTCCCAAGTCATCTTTGTATTAATAGATCTCTCCTCTGCCCCTCACTTATGTATGGTTCTCCCTGCGACTCTCTTCTCATTCTCTGTATACTCCTGGGGTGACCTCACCCATGTCTGGGTTTTCTTTTTAAAAATTGAAATATAGTTGACATACAATATTATGTTACTTTCAGGCATACTACAAGCTGATATGACATTTGCATTCACTATGAAATGATGACTATCCTACGTCTAGTAACCATCAGTCCTCATATGAAGTTATTACAATATTATTGATCATAGTCATTACACTATATATTTACATCCCCATGGCCCATCTTTCCTACCTTTCCCTCCTGAGCTGAAGATGTGCTGCCAACTTCTGCCTTAGATGTGACCCAGAAACCTTCAAGTCACCAGATCTAAACTCTCCACAGGTGGGGACAAAGGTGACTCCCTCTGCCCAGGAACAGCATCCCTCTGATTGAAACCCAAGAACCTAAACTGAACTGTATTGAGTAGAAAGATGATTTCCAATGGAGCTTTAAGTTTACTTGCACAATATGTTAAACAATTAGGTGGATCTGAAGCAAAACCTAGGGAATCTATGAAATTTCTTCCCCCTTTCTCTTTCCTCCACTCTCCTCGCCCTCCCTCTTATTTCTTACCAGCCCCTTTCTCCTAGACATCTTAGTGCTATGAACCTCTTAGAGGAACTCTGTTTTCTGCAGCTAATTCAGGCACTAAGAATTTGATTTCTGAACCAAAAGGAGAAAATGCGTTGGATCCCAGGAGCACTAAATTTGTTTGGGCAATGACACTGTATCAGTTTCTAGAGTGTGCCCTGTAAAATGTTAAAGAAATTACAAGAAAAGATCTTTTATATGGACCATTTTTAAAAGTCTTTATTGAATTTGTTACAATATTGCTTCTGTTTTATGTTTTGGTTTTTTGGCTCCAAGGCATATGAGATCTTAGCTCCCCAACCAGGGATTGAACCCACACCCTCTGCATTGGAAGTTGAAGCCTTAACCACTGGACCACCAAAGAAGTCCCTCTTTTTTCTTTTGTTCCTTCAAAAAAACAGGGCACAAAACTGTCAAAAACAAACAAAATCTTTCTTTCTCACTTAAAAAAAAAAGAAAAATCAGATACCCTTCATCAATTTCTTCTTTTTAACGAATGATGAGATTCTTTCTGCATCTACAGCACTATCAAGTCATTGTTTACTCTCGAATAAGGAAGTGTGCTGCAGCCTGTTTGAGCTCCTGATGTGGGCCCATGGTTTACCTGTCTCTGCTCCTCCCTCCCCTCCTTTTGGTTAACTCAACATTTTAGTGACCAGGTGTAATAAAGGTGATCCAGATAATGCTTTACAGCTTTTAAAAGAAGCAGGCCCTTCTTTCAAACTAATTCTCACTCAGTCTGTAACACTGCTGGCTGTGGATCAGGGCTCTGGGCTCCAGCTATAGAAGGACAATCCCCTTCTCATATTTCCTTGTGGGGAATTTCTCTACCAGCGGTGGTTCCCAACTCCAGCTTTACATCAGAATTGCCTGGGGAGCTGTAAAGTCCCCTCAAAACCAGGCTGCATTCCAAACCAAACCAATTTCGTCTCCATGTGGGGCCCAGACAGCAACAGTTTGCAGAGGTCCCCAGGTGACACAACTACATACCCACTCCGGCTCTACACGCCCTCCCGTATCAGGCCCTGATGCGGAAAGGGGGCACTGAGCATGCACAGGCCTGCTCTTGCGCCATGCAGTCCACGCACTCCTGCCGGGTTAGGCTGCTCTTGCCCCCTAACAGTGAAGCATTAGCAAGCCCACACCCTGAAGGCAGAGTTCATTTCTCAAACAGCTTTACTAGAGAGAAAGGAGGTTTCTGTCTGAAACAAGGGGGAACCCTTAGAGTGTTGTCTGGCACATGGTAAGAAATGTTTGAGCTTTGAAGCGAAAGTGAAAGTGTTAGTTGCTCTGACGTGTCCGACTCTTTGCAACCCTATGGACTATAGCCTGCCGACTGGCAGGGGACTCTGCCCAGGGACTTCTCCAGGCAAGATACTGGAGTAGGTTGCCATTATCTTTCTCCAGGGGATGTGAGCTTCCGTTGGCATTCAGTCGTTCAGTCGTGTCCAGCTCTTTGCAACCCCGTGGACTGCCTCACGCCAGGCTTCCCTGTCCTTCACCATCTCCTGAAGCTTGCTCAAACGCATGTCCATTGAGTTGGTGAGGCCATCCAACCATCTCATCCTCTCTCATCCCCTTCTTTTCCTGCCTTCAATCTTTCCCAGCATCAGGGTCTTTTCCAATGAGTCAGCTCTTCACATCAGGTAGCCAAAGTATTGGAGCTTCAGTTTCAGCATCAGTCCTTCCAATGAATATTCAGAGTTGATTCCTTTAGAATTGACTGGTTTGATCTCCTTGCAGTCCAAGGGACACTCAAGAGTCTACTCCAACACCACAGTTTGAAAGCATCAATTCTTCACTGATCAGCCTTTTTTATGGTCCAACTCTCACATCCATACATGACTACTGGAAAGACCATAGCAGCCCCTTAGCCATTTCTCTTCGGTGCTCAAGGACTCAGTCCTGAGCTGTTGCAGAATTCAGAACAGACATCGAAGTCAGACCAGCAGTTGAGGTGCCGTTAGTGAGGATCAAGTGAGAGAACTCGGCCAGGAAGCAGGACAAACAGTAGGTTTTATTTGTACAACTGGTAGGGAAGGGTGGATCCCTGGCTGGGGGAAGGAGGGAGCCCCGGGTTTAATGGCATCTTGTAAGTGAGACTCTTCCCTCTGACTTGGCCATGAAGATTAGCCTGGGTGTGCCTGCCTGCCCGGAGGTCTGCCAAGGCCATTCTCATACCCCTCCCTAATAATCCATGGCCATTTCTTCCCTATTTCAGACTTGACTCAAAGCTCCCATTTGTTTCAGGATGTTCTTAATTCCTTACTATGTAAAGACTGAAGACAGGAGGAGAAGGGGACAACAGAGGATGAGATGGTTGATGGCATCGTCAACTCAAAGGATATGAGTTTGAGCTAACTCTGAGAAATGGTGAAGGACAGGGAAACCTGGTGAGCTGCAGTCCATGGGGTCGCAAAGAGTCGGACACGACTGAGATACTGAATAACAACAACATGTAAACTGTTCAGAAGCGTCCGCATCACCGGGGAGCTTGTTAGAGATGCAGAATCTCAGGGCCCACCCCAGACCTACTGAATCAGAATCTTCATTTTAACAAGATCTCCAGGTGACCTGTTATACAGGAAAGTCTGGGGAGAGCCCCTCCAGTTTTCTCCTGGGTGCTCTCAAAGTGCCCTGGCCAGAGTTTGGGATTCAGCAGGAAAGTCCCATGTGTGTGCTGACTCACTACATATTCATGGCAACTGGGGCTGTGATAGGTTGGAGAAAGGGAAGACTCTCCAGGACAGTTTCATGTGCTTTCTGGATAACAGGATTGAAGGGCACAGTGGGCAGGACATTGGACAAGTGACGCAAAGTGGACCCCCTCCCCTCACAATCTGGAGAGAGGAAACCTGCTCCTTACAGAAGACACTCTGCATTTCTTGTGTCTTACCTCACTCAGTTTTTCAGGACTGAAAGCAGTAGTCAGGACACTTCTGACCTCTTCCCATCTTTTGTCACGTAAGAACAGGACACTGTCCGCCACTGGTTTGGGCTCCAAACCCGTTGCCTTTTGGAAAGAGACAAGCAGAGAATTAGGATGCCAGAACACCCAAGCCAGCTCGGTGGCCACAGAGTCCACGATAAACACTCTGGTTAAAGTTACCTGTGCCCAACAATTAGACTTCTTTTGCAAGGGTATGAGGAATGTAAAGTCTCATGGACAGTGATCTCAGGATCCATGGCTGAGTCCCCCTGGGAGCAGACGGGGAGGCTGCTCTGGCCCAGTTCTACCTCGTTACTCTGTGGTCATCACCATAGACAACTCGGGGGCTTCTGTGTGTTCTTTAGCCCCTTGCTGAGTGAACGTTCCCTGAAGACCCAGCAGCAGGCTTCTTGGAGGTGGGCTGGTCTTTTCTGGGATTGAGTGTCATGTCTGAACTATGTGGCAGGGGGTTTTGTGTGGCTGGATTGGTTAGGTTGGGCCAGATGTCTGGGTCCTTGGAATATGGGTGGGATGGGGGAGGAGAGGGGAGGGGAAGAAAGAGAGTCCTTAAGAAGCATGCATCAACAGAGCTGATTCCAAGAGAACGCCTGTCACCATGTTTGTGTGTGTTTTCACTCAGTGAATGTCTATATGAGAAGTTGCCTATACAGTGCTAAATAAAGAAGACATTGCATTGAGTCTCACCGAGTTGGTAATCTAGTGGGGAAGCAGATGGCTCCTAAACTGACAAATAGCTATCATTATAGTTCAGAGGAAAGTGTGTGTTACAAAGGGAGTGCCGTCCTTACTTGCTCAGTCATGTCCAACTCTTTGTGACCCCATGGACTATAGCCCTCCAGGCCCTGCTGTCCATGGGGTTTCTCCAGGCAAGAATACTGGAGTGGGTTGCCATGCCCTCCTCCAGGGGATCTTCCCAATCCAGGGATTGAACTCAGGTATCCCATATTGCAGGCGGATTCTTTACCATCTGTTCACGAGGGAAGCCCAAGAATACTGGAGTGGGTAGCCTATCCCTTCTCCAGGGAGCTTCCTGACCCAGGAATTGAACCAGGGTCTCCTGCATTGCAGGCAGATTCTTTACCAGCTGAGCTACCAGGGAAGCCCGTTATGAAGGAAGTGGAGGGTGGGCAACAAGGTGAGAAAATGATAGGGGATTAAATGGCCAGGAAGGCTTCTCTGAGGAGGAGATAGTCCAGGTGAATCTGGAAGCATGTGAAGAATGAGGTCTTCTCGTCCCTTCTTTTTTTTTTTTAATATTTAATTTATTTGGCTGCATCCAGTCTTAGTTGCAGTGCATGAGTTCTCTAGTTGTGGCGTGCTGCCTTAGTTGCTCCATAGCATATGGGATCTTAGTTCCCCGATCAGGGATCGAACCCACATCCCTTTCATTGCACAGTGGATTCTTAACCACTGGACCACCAGGGAAATCTCTTCTCATCATCCCTTCTTCCCAGGTCATTTTCTTCCTTCCTAAAACCAGCTACTCTGACCAAGTGGTCAAAACTGGGGGGCCTCCACAGCTGTTCAGAGCACCCCTAGCCCTAGGACTGCTGGGTGAGGGGAAGTAGGGGGACTGGAGGACCAAGCTTTCTTCAGAACCACACATGTGATGTATGGTTTTGCTATTTCTTTTCACTATTTTAATTATAGTTGAAACATGAAGCCAGCCACCATAACTCAAAAGCCTTGTAAGAACTCCTGTTTAAAAGAAAATTATAATTTTCTGATAAAATATGAACACTCAAAATAAGCTATAAAACATAACTGCAAAGTATCTGGAGGGACTTAATTATATGTTATTAAATAGAACCAAGTTGCTGGGATATTTTTCTGCAGAGGAATACCTCTCTATATTTAGAATAAAATTCTTTAGGAGTACTGTGGTCACTATACAGAATTGTGGTTTTATGGAATTTTTAGAACATAACCCATTTGTTTAGGTTCCAGAGTCAAAGGAGAAAATCGTACATTATGTTTATTTGTATGTTGGCAAATGCCAGCCCTGTGCTATGCTACATGTAATAAAGCATTTCACTCCAAGGAAAGATGGGTGGTGGTTTATAGGGTTCTGATGAAACAGAATAAATTGGAGATGAGCCAAGGTTGATTGGATTTCATGTCTGTCCTTCAGACCTAAGGATAGACTCCATGAAAATTTTTATCTTGCACTTAGAGGAGGAATCCAGTCCCTGTGTAATATGTCAGCATTGGTCTCCCTTATCGGCCTGCCAAGACAATACTGTCCCTTGGGCCTACAGTTTCTATTAGAATTCTTCCTTCCTTGATGGAGGATTTCAGGGGCACTGATTAGAGTAACGGTTTCATTTCTAGATATGATACTGGAAGAGGGAAAGCAGCCAATTGGTCATTCCAGAAGAGTGGTTGGATGCTGAGGGGACAAGCTAACAGATCTGGGAATGAAAAGGCTTGGGAGATCAGATCACGGTCCTTAATCTGTGCTCAAAAGCTGTTTCTTGAATGCATGTTACATGGAGGAGGAAACTTGGCTTGTTTTTTGACCGTGGGTGGTAGAACTGGGGTCAATAGTGGGAGCTGTGGGGAAAATTCCAGCTCACCTAAAGAACTTCCCAATAAAGTCAGAAGGTTCCAAGATAAAAATAACCTGCCTTGAGTGGTGAGCCCCTGTCACTGGAGACTGTATCCTACTTCTTGGAAATTCTCCATGGGAGGTTTGAGTGGCCTGGGTGGAACGGGGAGTATAAATGACTTTTAAGAACTCTCTCAACTCTGAGGACTTAACCTCCAGATGACCACACCAGATATATATATAGTTTAAAGGTATACATGTATCCATTCTCCCCCAAACTCCCCTCCCACCCAGGCTGCCACATGACCTTGAGCAGAGTTCCTGGTGCTATATAGTAGGTCCTTGTTGGTTATCCATTTAAAATATGGGCTTCCCTGCTGGCTCAGGCAGTAAAGAGTCTGCCTGCAATGCAGGAAACTTGGGTTCGATCCCTGGGTTGGGAAGATCCCCTGGAGGAGGAAATGGCAACCCACTCTAGTATTCTTGCCTGGAAAATCCCATGGATGGAGGAGCCTGACAGGCTACAGTCCACAGGGTCACACCCGGGTGGAGGGAGGTGTCTAAATGACTTTTAAGAACTTTCTCAACCTCAAAGACTTAACCTCCTGATGACCACACCAGGTATAGTTTAAACATATACATGTATCCATTCTCTCCCAAACTCCCCTCCTATCCAGGCTGCCACATGACATTTATTTATTTATTTTTTTTTTTCATTTATTTTTATTAGTTGGAGGCTAATTACTTTACATCATTGCAGTGGTTTTTGTCATACATTGAAATGAATTAGCCATGGATTTACATGTATTCCCCATCCCAGTCCCCCCTCCCACCTCCCTCTCCACCCAATCCCTCTGGGTCTTCCCAGTGCACCAGGCCCGAGCACTTGTCTCATGCACCCAACCTGGGCTGGTGATCTGTTTCACCCTAGATAATATACGTGTTTCGATGCTGTTCTCTTGAAACATCCCACCCTCGCCTTCTCCCAGAGTCCACAAGTCTGTTCTATACATCGGAGTCTCTTTTTCTGTTTTGCATATAGGGTTATCGTTACTATCTTTCTAAATTCCATATATATGTGTTAGTATACTGTAATGGTCTTTATCTTTCTGGCTTACTTCGCTCTGTATAATGGGCTCCAGTTTCATCCATCTCATTAGAACTGATTCAAATGAATTCTTTTTAATGGCTGAGTAATATTCCACGGTGTATATGTACCACAGCTTCCTCATCCATTTGTCTGCTGATGGGCATCTAGGTTGCTTCCATGTCCTGGCTATTATAAACAGTGCTGCAATGAACATTGGGGTGCACGTGTCTCTTTCAGATCTGGTTTCCTTGGTGTGTATGCCCAGAAGTGGGATTGCTGGGTCATATGGCAGTTCTATTTCCAGCTTTTTAAGAAATCTCCACACTGTTTTCCATAATGGCTGTACTAATTTGCATTCCCACCAACAGTGTAAGAGGGTTCCCTTTTCTCCACACCCTCTCCAGCATTTATTGCTTGTAGACTTTTGGATAGCAGCCATCCTGACTGGTGTGTAAGGGTACCTCATTGTGGTTTTGATTTGCATTTCTCTGATAATGAGTGATGTTGAGCATCTTTTCATGTGTTTGTTAGCCATCTGTATGTCTTCCTTGGAGAAATGTCTGTTCAGTTCTTTGGCCCATTTCTTGATTGGGTCATTTATTTTTCTGGAGTTGAGCTGGAGGAGTTGCTTGTATATTTTTGAGATTAATCCTTTGTTGCTTCATTTGCTATTATTTTCTCCCAATCTGAGGGCTGTCTTTTCACCTTGCTTATAGTTTCCTTTGTTGTGCAAAAGCTTTTAAGTTTCATTAGGTCCCATTTGTTTATTTTTGCTTTTATTTCTAAAATTCTGGGATGTGGGTCATAGAGGATCCTGCTGTGATTTATGTCGGAGAGTGTTTTGCCTATGTTCTCCTCTAGGAGTTTTATAGTTTCTGGTCTTACATTTAGATCTTTAATCCATTTTGAATTTATTTTTGTGTATGGTGTTAGAAAGTGTTCTAGTTTCATTCTTTTACAGGTGGTTGACCAGTTTTCCCAGCACCACTTGTTAAAGAGGTTGTCTTTTTTCCATTGTATATCCTTGCCTCCTTTGTCGAAGATAAGGTGACCATAGGTTCGTGGATTTATCTCTGGGCTTTCTATTCTGTTCCATTGATCTATAGTTCTGTCTTTGTGCCAGTACCATACTGTCTTGATGACTGTGCCACATGACATTGAGCAGAGTTCCAGGTGCTTGTTGGTTATCCATCTAAAATACAGCACTGTGTACACGACCTTCCCAAACTCCCTAACTATCCCTTCTTCCCATCCTTCCCTCCTGAGAACCATAAGTTCCTTCTCTAAATCACTACAGCTATTTTAAAATTAGTTTGTTTCAAAGTGAAAGTTGCTCAGTTGCCTCTGACTCTGCAACCCCATGGACTATAGCCCACCAGGCTCCTCTGTCCATGGGATTCTCCAGACAACAATACTGGACTGGGT